GGCCTCCAAGACTCTGCTCTCTCCTGGTTCTCCTCCTACCTAACGCAGCGCTCATTCAACGTTAACTATAACTCTGTCTCCTGCTCTCCACTTCCTCTTTCTGTATGGGTCCCTCAAGGTTCTGTCCTTGGACCCCTGCTCTTCTCCATCTACACCTTCTCTCTTGGTCACTTGATAAACTCCCATGGCTTTAAGTACCATCTCTATGCTGATTACATACAAATCTGTCTTTCTACTTCTCACCTTTCCCCTTCAGTCTCCTCTTGCATTACTAACCTACTAAGTGACATATCAGCATGGATGTCACTCCACTTCCTCAAACTAAATCTTTCCAAAACAGAGCTCATACTATTCCCTCCACTTTTAGGTGATCTCTGAAAACCTATCTCTTCAGGGAAGCCTATCCCGCCTTCAGCTAATAATGGAATCTTCTATTCCTCCTATCAGTTCATCCCCCACAGTTATTACCTTTTGTGCCACCAGCCCCTCCCTTTTAGATTGTAAGCTCCAAAGACCAGGGCCCCTCCTAACCCTCTTGTATTAAACTGTATCATTACTGTATTGTCTCCCTTTATATCGTAAAGCGCTGAGCAAACTGTTGGTGCTATATTAATCCTGTATAATATTTATAATGATAGATAGATAGATAGATAGATAGATAGATAGATAGATAGATAGATAGATAGATAGATTGATCTGTGTAGAAGGATCACTTGTTATCATTAGTAGTAATATTTTGAGGTATGACTACAACATGGAGGTGGGTCGAGAGAACAAAATGAATTGTCAGCTTCATCTACAGTATTTTGTGCCATCTACATGATCTGTGTACATTAATGTAGCTCTAAATGCTCACCACTCCAATATGACTTAAAAGTTACTTAAAAGATTAGTAGGCATCTAGATTTTCTTGCTTTCCAAAACAATTAATTCTGTGCTGTTCAGACAGCTCATCTAAAATGAATAATCTGAAGTTAAATATTTATTAAAGATTAGCAAAATATAAAGGTTGTCTACATCCCAAGAAAGACAGATTTTTTTTATAGCAATTCATAGGAAATAGTTTCTGGCTATTTTTTTAGACACTAAAAAGACCCCAAATGCACAGAACTGTGACTTCGGCAATTGCATTCCATAGTATCAATTATCTCTGCACTCACAAGGGAAAAACTGTGAAAAGGCAATGACATTTTAGGCGTTATTTATCCAGCTGCCCTAAGGTTGTGGTCCTAAAGATCTGCTGTGGACCAGAAAAGAACAAATTATTGCTCAAAGGCCTCCAAATCATGCATACAATATAGACACACCAATGCTGCAGCTCTATAAAGTACGTATCTGGCTTTTTTACTCAAAAACATTAGATGAAGTTCAGGAAAGTCAGAAGGCAGAGTAAGAACCCCTCATCTGCATATTTTTTCCAGGTCAGTGATTTAGAAAGTATTAAATACCCTGGATCAAGATAACAGACTTTTCATTTTCTGCATATGATGTCAGCAATGGCAGCCTTCAATTCTTAAATACAGGTTTCCATCAAAAATAATCTATCATCTGGAAAAAAGAATGCTTGCATAGCCAACATTTCACTAATAAGCCAGCTAGAAGTTTGTATCTGAATCTGTAACAGTCTGGGTTAATGTTAAGTTACCACCAGACATAAGATGATCTTCCTTATCTGAACAGTAGGACACGTAAACAATTGTATGTCAGCAGGCTATTCTGGACCAAGTTTATGCATTTATTTTACTTTTTTTGGTTCTTGGAATTTATTCCTCTAAAAATTCCAACCACACACCAGGCATACAGACAGATTGTGGTTAAGGATGTGTAGCATGTGTGCATAAGCATGTGTGCTCCAGTATACGTATACCAGCCAAAATACCGTTCAGCTTTAGGTGAATGCATCAAGAGGACAACAATGAAATTCATAACACCCAATCCCTCTGCCCCCAATATCAAAGCTTCCTGCTAAGTAATGAACCAAATAAATTTAGTAGCATAAGAAATGGTCCAATATATGGATTTCCCATTAAAAATCTATATAACTGGAATCTTGCCTTACTCATAAAATCAGCAGTTCATTAATTAGACAATATAACATGTTTTGGCTGAGTTAAGTAATTGATAAATGGCCATATTGAATAATTTGCTGCAACGATCAGCTATGACCCAGTAAATTATTTTCACAGTTTCATGCACAGGTATTGGAAGTTTAAATAAGACATACCAAAACTGCTACATTTCAATGCTGATTACGCAGCAATGCTTGTGTAATTTAAAAAAAGTAAAAGTAATTTCTCTGTTATCTTTTAACCTGATCGCCATCGATACATCACTTATGACAGATAATCTATTGCAGTAGATCAGTTTAAATAAAGATAGGTTTGTTTTAACACAAAGCAAAAGTAATTGGTGGATTTAGTTTACACGTGGTGGATGTTATCAAAGTAACTGACTGACATACTGAGCAGTGAACATAACAGCCATTCAAAGCTGATTGCCCAAAGTCCCATGAGGATTAGTCCCAGCAAGGCTGCTACATGCTGTTTACTGTCACCAGCTACTCACTCTGTACCCAGTGACCAAATAACCTTTGCTAGTCCAGGCGATGAGGTCACAGATAAGCCCTACTAGCATTGACATACTAAGGAGTTCAAGTGCTGCACAAATGTAAAAGGCAAGAAACCAGCCTAATGACAGCAATGCGTTTGACACGCTTGTCACCAATGACAGGATCCACAACATGTGTTGTCTTCCCAGCCTTTAAACAATTCAGCAAAATCTTAAAATCCTATTAAACCACATCTTTATTATTAATGAAAGAATTATAATTATATAGTAAACATTTCAGACACATTTTAGATACAACCAGCATAGTTCACTGAATATTGTAAGTAACATTGAAGAATAGCTTTAATCCATATAATCCATTTTTAATCCAACCTAAATACAACAATTTAGTTTGACTATGTATGCTAAAAATATATTTTATTTTGTTACTAACTTGTTTTGCTTGCTTCAAATTTTTAATGTATGAACCACCATATATTTTTTTATTAATGATCTTCACAAAGCACACAAATTGTGTACTTATACATCTAAATACCTCTCAAAACCTTTCTTTCTGCTTCTTCTGTTTAAAATAGAATTCCCCATAACATACAGTACCGGTGTTATTGTACTATGTTTGCTGTCTATGTTTATAGCATTTCTCCACCTTATTGTAGTGGTAAATACCTTTTGAGTAAAAAAAAACCTAGACAATTAATATCTTAGGAATTCTGTATAGCTGTGTTAAGTTAATGGAAAAAGTGTGTTTTATCAAGCTTGGTATTATTATTATAGGTACTTATTTAGTGTCGTCAATTTAAGCAGCACTTTACATATATATTGTACATTCACATCAGTCCCTAACCCTCAAGGGGTATACAATCTGAGGTCCTTAATGTACAAACATACATACAAATACTAGGGCCAATTTAGACAGGATCCAATTAACCTACCAGCATGTCTTTTTGGAGCGTGGGAGGAAACTGGAGTACCTAGAGGAAACCAATGCAGGCACATGGAGAACATGCAAACTGCAGGCAGGTGGTGCCGTGGTTAGGATTTGATCCAACAACCCTAGTACTGCCAGGTGCTAACCATTTAGCCACTGTGCTGCCCATGTTATAAATTTTAGGTGTTCAACTGTCCATAATTAACATTATGCATTACCTTCGTTAAAAAAATCACTATTTGCTTTACTGTCCCTCCTGGGTAATGACTTTCAGAATTAAAGATCCCAGACCTATACATAACAAAGCTAATGAGTTTCTTGTACTGAGTGGTCTACATTGTTATGCTGTTAACATCCAGGCTTGGTCAAGGTCAGCAAGGAGAGATTAATTGAGAGGGCATTCTCCGGTTAAGTAGGCAAAGGATTTCATTTAGGAAAAAAAAACTATGATTATATGGGAACGTGTAAGGTTGTCCATACATAAGCAGAACTCTCACCAAGAATGGCAAGTGATAATAGATCTACTGTACTTGTTTCAATTGTGAGTATTATAGACCTGTTAAAAACCCTCTTCCCAATTTGCCTAATGTGTAGCTGAGCATGCAATGTATTATTCTTTTTTCAACTGAGAAAAAGAACCATACAGCAGCTATTTTTCAAGATGTTGGAAAATCTCAGTGTGTGCTAATAAGTACTTCTGATGTTTGCTATTGCTCATTCGTGATTCATAAGGGGTATGATTATCACAAGTGACGCTTGAACATATCAGCTCAAATAATAGCAACCTTAGAATTTTTAGTTTGTGTTCAACTTTATAACCACAACAATAATTACCAACAACAAAGGTTAGGCATGATTTTAAAGCTGGCCACCTGATTGCAAAAAGTACTAAACCTGTGTAAAAAAAGAACTTAAAGACAATAAGTTATTTTAATTACTGTTTTCATAATGGGAAAAACGTCCTGATTTGATTACATTTATTCATATAGGAAACCATATCAATACTCCATATTATTGTATTAACGCTCAAGAATAGTGTTAATTGTTCTGATCTATTCATGCATATGCATAGTTTATTTTAGCAAAATTCAAATCTATCAAACTAAAATGTAAGTTGGAAAACTTCTGTATTTTAGGGATTAGTTATACATACATAACATTTTTCATATAAAATGTATGCATATATGACTTATAGACAAGGCAAACAGCAATGTACTCAGTGCAGTACCGAGCAAATAGTCATCAATCATCTAACAGTGTTCTGATTGGTCTACAATGATGAAAGTAAACTATGACTGAATACTGCCATTGTATGTAAACTATACATCATCTTTGCATGCTGGCACACCTTTATTGTACAGCCTTTAAAATTTTGTGAGTGATGCCATGGTGGTATCTCTGTTACTACATGTACAATGTATGATTTGACATTAATTAAATATAATGTACTGATTCAAACATCTGAACAGGTATCTCTTGATAGAGAACAAGCAAAGTATTGTATCTATATCATTAATTTTCCATAAACAGTGATGCTTACCACACGCTGAGCTCCATTAGTTATGTATAGCAAATCTCTTTGGTCCCTCTCTTGCTGGTTAAGGGAGGCCAGCAAAGCTTGCAGGCGTTCTATGTACTGGATGGCACTCCTCAAGATCTCAACTTTAGGAAGTCTCTGGTTAGGGTTTAACAAAGTGCTTCTTTTTAAGGCTTCAAAAGCTTCATTCACTTTCTTCAACCTGCGTTTTTCCCTCAGTGTAGCTGCTCGTCTTCTGTCCAAAGACACTGTCTTCCGTTTGCACATTTTGCAGGCCCATGGCAGGCATTGACCAGGGCAGTGGTCCTGTTGGCCTACGCTGGCATGGGGAGATAGCTTTTCTTCAATGCCTGTCCCTTGCAGTATAACACCATCAGTGCAAATACCCATGGAGCCACGATCTTGAAATCCAGTCTGATCATAAGTGGGGAGCCTTGTGGAAAAATAATTTTCATTGTCGAAAAATCTTTGCTCTGGGAAAAAGTAAGGGCTGGTTTCAAACAGTTCCATCGTGTTCAACTGTTAAGATGTGTTTCCCTTCAATGACAACACAGCAACTGCACTTCTCCCCTTCACACCAACTGCTTGATGCCATTTAAACCCTCTGCCCGGCATTAAATCACAGAGATAAATATAGAAAAAGGCTCACGAAACCTGATCCACTTTTTAGCTGTTGCCTGACATCAAAACTTTTTACGTCTGAATAGACGGGATTCTCCCTAGAGGATTCTTTTTTCTAGTACAAGTACAAAGGAAACATTCCCTTTTAAATTTTAAATACCACTGACCAATAGATGGATGGATAGATAGATAAATAGATAGATAGATAGATAGATAGATAGATAGATAGATAGATAGATAGATAGATAGATAGATAGATAGATAGATAGATAAAAGGACATCCTAAAATACTACCAGAAGTAAAGGCAGTTTTTTTAAAAAAAATTATAAAATAACAAAAACTGATGGATAAAATCATTTTGTGTAGATGGACATCATATATTAGCAGTCCTTTGATTTACATATTTATTTTAATTAAATTTTAAATATAATAAATAAATAGGCAAAGAGATAGATCTATCTATCTATCTATCTATCTATCTATCTATCTATCTAGCCATCTATCTATCTTTCTATCTATCTATTAAATATCTATCTAATAGATAGATAGATAGATAGATAGATAGATAGATAGATTAGTTCTGTGTAGAAGGATATTATAAAATAATCACTAATCACTTTAGAAGTAATTTAACTTGCTTGTGATTAAGATAAAAAGAGGTACAAATAATAATATTAAAAACGAAATTATAGATAAATAAATTGTATCTAGAGATGTATTCTTAATCATAGTATTAGCAGTATTTTGACCTACTTATGATAAAGATAGATAGATAGATAGATAGATAGATACTTTTTTGCCTTCATCCCTATTAATAATGAAAGAGACAGAAAGGTAGACATGTACACTATAAATAGCTGTAGAAAGTTGTGATATATTATAATACTATACAGAGATAAAATTGAGTCAAGGTAAAATATGTTTTCTAACGTAAATAGCAATCTTCATGGCTGGACCTTTCTATGCATGGAATGTCCGCTCATAGACTTGTGAATAATGTATGTTTGTTTTATTCATGGTGACATTATACAGTATGGATGAGACAGAGATGTATCAGGAACAAACATACTGTGACATGCATGCCAATTTCCCCACACCTTCCATAATGTAAGATTGGGGAATCACACACACCGTGGTGACTGACCTCTGCTGCTATAGTGACTCAAGAGACATGACATGACATGAAATATGATTAGATCATATGTCCTCATTGTAACATTGGACCCCTTAGTCAAGGCAGTGACATCCAGTTACTTTTCCAAAGAGGTCACCGTCGTACGTCTATGTTCCTTATTATTTTATATTGGTTATACAGCATGACTGCATTCAGATAATCATTTCCCTTTGATTTATTTTATTGTATAAAACAGAAAACTCAGATACTAATTTTCTGGCTTTATTCTGGATTATGTTTGCCATTTATTTCTAAAAGAATATAGTATAACTTATACAAGGTTGCTGATTTACTAAAACAGCAAAATCTAATCATTTGCAAGTACATTTTCACTTGACTTCGTGAATTTGATGAAGCTGTACTGACTTTTATCATCCAATATGTGCACAGAAAATCCTGTATTTTTGAAGTAGAAGAAAAGCCTAAGGATACTTTCACAAGGGCTTTCCAATCAGGTCCACCTATGTGTTTTTCAGACAGACCTGATTGAAATCTCCATGCAACTCAATCCGTTTACATCAGTCAACCTCTGAATCTTTCCAGACCCAAACGTCGTTTTCTGTTTTTCTGAACCTAAATGTGACAGATCGGAGGTAGACTGATATAAAAGTACACAAGTCCATTTATATCCATCCACCCATAGATCTATCATAGGGCTGCCCTTGTCCGTTGTGTAAATGCGGACACAAACTGAACGGGGCACATATGTCAAAAACCTGACATCTGTCCCGTTAAGTTCCAATTCAGCAGGGCACTTGGATAGGGTAATAGGGATTTTGGGATGCCCAACATGACTTAATTAATGTAAAGGGACAACTTCCTTCCTATTTATAGAAAAAGATCCTGGACTGTTCTTTTCCTTGAAGGCAAACTTCCATTTTGGATCAGTAGCAACTGCCCCTTACTGACTAGGGACTTACAACTCCTCTGAAAATTAGCTTAGCTTGTTGCAAACTACATGCAACCTCTACTCTGTAGAACTGCTCCCAGCTCCACAGCCTGCACCCACTACCAACCCTCCTGGCTGCTCTGAAGATCTCCCAGGACCAGGATAAAGGATTAAGCACAATGCTGTCCTTTGAAGGCTTGCTACATGTGAATCCCCAGGTGTGCTGATGTACTCACTTTGTTCTCCTTGCTCCCATTGCTCCCAGGCCTTGCTTCTGTTCATGCCATGATGCTAGACTTAGGGGACTCCCCCCAGGCCACTGACAGTTTCCTCAGCACTCCGTATTCCACCTGACTCCCCTGCCAGCCTAACTTTTCCATATTTATGGGTTAGTCTCTCCACTCTACCAGGGCCTCTAAACCTGGGATTGGTTAGACTCCCATAAATATGAAAATTAGGTATCTACCCCTTCCATTCACTGACTTCTGGAAGGTTCCATGGTCCTCCAGAACCAGGTGGAAGAGATAGAGTCCAAACCTCTTAAGATATTCAGCCTGACCTGCAGTAACCCGACCTAATTACAGACTCACACAGTTACCATGAGTTATACACAATACATTTACCTATACTATTCTAGTAACACACTAGAGGGCGCTACATAAAAAAGATGTGTATTCACCGATGTATATTCTTTTCTTACCATTGATTGGAGAAATGTTGCCTGTCTGATGAGTCTCAATTTACCTCTAGATGATTTTGCATGAAAATTCCAGTAGATCAGTAGTTTTTGAAATACTCAGACCAGTTCATCTGGCACCAACAACCATGTCATGTTTAAAGTCACTTAAATCCTCTGTCTTCCCCATTCTGCTGCTCTGCTTGAATTTTAGCAAGTCATCTTCACCACATCTAGATGCCTAAATGCATTGAATTGCTGCCATGTGATTGGCTGATTAGCAATTTGTGTTACCAAGCAATTGAACAGGTGTACCTAATAAAGTGACCAGAGAGTGTAAAATCTGTACAAGGCCCTTTTCTGATAATACCTCACAGCCTCCTGAATTGCTAAATTTGTACCTCAATAGTCTCCATTATGTTTCTGAGCTTGTGGACAGGAAGCTACAATGCTTCATAATTGGTGGACATGTCCAAACATATGCAGACTTTGGCTGTGGGTTTATAATTGAATTTACTTTAATTTACACAGTATTTTGAGCAAGGACCTGATACAGGCACTACTGAATAAATCCTCCGAGGGTGTTTCACACTCAAAAGCAAAACTAATTACCTTTATCATTACCGCCACAAAGCAAACAATTGCTCACCCATGGAAGTCCTCCATACTAAAGTTCCACTGACATTTAAATGGAACCTTAGTAAACGAAAAACTTCAAGCCATCTCTTCAGCCCCCATTGAAAAAAAAAAAATATGGTCACCATGGATCACATGCTTACAACCAAACCACTTGCCATCCTGAGGATTTACCCCCCTTAATGACCAGGCCTTTTTTTGCTATTCGGCGCTGCACTATTTCAACCGATAATTGCGCAGTCATGCAATACTGTAACCAAATTAAATTTACGTCCTTTTTTTCACACGAATATAGCTTTCTTTTGGTGGTATTTGATCACCTGTGCGCTTTTTATTTTTGGAGCTATAAACAAAAACGTTTTGAAAAAATAGAAAAAAAACCCCCATAAACTATATTTTCTCATTTCTGTCATAAAAAATATCCAAAAAACTCAAATTTCATCATAAATTTAGGCCAAAATGTATTCTGCTACATGTTTTTGGTTAAAAAAATCCCAGTAAGTGTATATTGATTGTATATATGTATGTTTTTGGAAAAAACAAAAACATTTTTTTTTTTACACAGAGTTGTCATTTATATTATATATTTCTCACACAAGCCATGGGTATATGTGGAATTACACCCGAAAATACATTCTGCTACTTCTACCGAATATGGGGATACTACATGAGTGAGACTTTTTGGGAACCTAGCCACATACAGGAGCCTGAAATCCAATAACTACTTTGAAAGCCTGAAGGTGTGTAACTTCCTCATTTCACTTCCTCACTACCACAGTTTCGGAGGCCTTGAAATGCCAGGATAGCACCAACCACCTTTGACCCCTTTTTGGAAAGTAGACACCCCAAGGAATATAAAAAGAGGCTTGGTGAATATTTTGCAGATATCATTTTTTCTCACAAGGTTTTAAAATATAAAAAAAAAGAAAAAATATGTTTTTGTTTTCTTTCTTCATTTTCCAAAAACTTGTGGCAACAAACGAGATCTGAAAAATACTCACAATGCTTCTTATCAAATTCCTTGGGGTGTCTACTTTTCAAAAAGGGGTCATTTGGAGGGGTTTGGTACTATCCTGGGATTTCAGGGCCTCCAAAACTGTGATAGGTAGTCAGGAAGTGTAATGAGGAAATAAAGCCCTTTAAATGCCTGAAGGTGCTTGTTGGATTTTGGGGTCCTGTACTTGGCTAGACTGCCAAAATGTCTCTCACATGTGGTACCCCCATACTCAGGAGAAGTAGCAGAATGTATTTTGGGGAGTAATTCCATATATACCCATGGCATGTGTGAGCAATAAATCATTTCATTGACAGTTTTGTGTAAAAAAAAAATATATTATTTTTGTAGTTTTCCAAAAACTTGTGGTAAAAAAATAAATTCTTCTATTGACTCAACATGCCCCTCAGCAAATAGTTTGGGGCATCTACTCTCCAAAAAGGGGTCGCTTTGGGGGTGGGGGCATTTTATGCCCAGCATTAGAAGTTTATGCCACAGATCATTTACTCTTCTAACCAC